CGGAGCCGAAGCCGGAACCAGAACCAGACCGGAGGGAGCGCCGCGCCGGCGAGCGTCAAGCTAAGCTGAGAAGGTCCATCGGTGGGGACCATCAGGACCATCGGGTGGCAGGGCGCAACCAGCCGGCGGGCTGCACTACCACGATGCGCCCAGGGCACGACAGTATACCATGTGTCAGAATGGCCTCGACACAACAGTATGCGGGGAGCAGTGGCCCAAGGGATGCAAACCCTGACACACCGTACAGAGGTTTGTTGGTTTGTTCTGCTTGTACTGCATGCAGAGAAAGGGAAGGGGAAGGGGAAGGGGCGGGGAGGAGCGGGCGAGACGTCCAGGGTAGTCCCCCGAGGGGAAGCCAGCTGGTGCGGCGGGGGCGGGGAGGAGCGCAGAGGCCGCACAAGCGCCATCAGCCGGAGCGGAGAAGTAATTCGATTTTCATTGTCGATGAGCCGAGCGAGCCCGTTATACTTCGGCGATCGTCGAGCCACTCGTCGAGCCTGCCCAGCTACAATGGGAGAAGAGCCGCCGCGGAGCGACAGAGGGCAGAGAGCACGTGGGGGCGAGGCGAGGACTCGACGCCCACCTGGGGCGCTAACGGTGCACGGCGGGGCGGGGCGGGGCGGGGCAGGCCGTGACGGATAGTGCCCTTCGTGTATCAGAGCGGCGGCGAGCTGCGGCGGCGAGCTGCGGCAGCAGGAAGAGGGACAGATATCTCCGGTCCCATCTCCAGGCGAGGCTGGCGGGGCGCGGTGGGGGCGGCGCCCTATCAGTCGGGGCCGCGGGCCGCCGCCGACCCCACAGAGCGCGGTGCAGACGGTGGCGACCGCGACGGGGTGCCCGGTGTCCCCCTCCTCCCCCGCCACCTGCAGCTGCACCGGGACGCGCACCCCTCACGTCAGTCGCGACTACTCACTTCTACAGCAGGTCAGAAATACACCGACGCGCCGTGACGACCGTCGGCGTCGAGGCGTACGTCTCCGCCGACTGCCGAAATATCCTGGTCGTGTGGGGAGAGAGCACACACAGACACACACAAACACGCTCGCGCGCGCACACAGCACTGCGCCGCCCGCGACAAGACACGCGGAGCTCGCGCACCGCGACGCGACGAGACGCGAGCGACCCGGACGCGACCACCACCACCGCCTCGCAGCGCACCACACCGCCGACTGACTGGCGCTGACGCGGGACGCGGGACGCGGACGCGACTCGCCGCGCGCCCCGCGCTCCTCCGGCCACGGGCAACCTCCACTCCGGCCTCCTCCACCACCTCCTGCTCATGTTCCTCCTCCTCCTCCTCCCTCCCTCCCTCCCTTACTCTCCTCTTCGCCCGCCGCCTCGACGCGAGGCTAGCCGGGGCCGGGAGGGGCAGAGTCAAGTCTCCGATCGCCCCCACCTTCCCCTTCCCTTTCCCCTCAGACTGACCGGCCACTCCGTACTCCGTACTACAGCCGCGACCGCGAAGCCAGCGCGGCGGCGACGCGGCGGCCGCTGCGGGAAGCACCAGTCTCCCCTCTCTCACTTCCTCTCATACCCTCTTCGTCGCACCACAGGGGGAGTGCCGGCGCGGGCAGTCAGCTGAGCTGTGAGCTGATTTTAGCCATAACTCACTTACGCCCCTGGGATGAAGACGACACCATAACAACAATTTGTCAATTAAAACTTACCTAGGTCGTTCATTCTGGGATTGCTGCTTGTCCTTCTCCTTGTTGAGTTGTTGCCTCGCCAGGTTAGCCTGGTGTCTCCGAGCCACAGCATCATTGGCGATGATTCTCCGCACCTCCTGCCCACCAGAAGATGTGTCACCATCATCAGACGTTAAGGCAGCAGATGAGCAGTTGGGTGACTCGGCGTTTTTAGATAAAGTTTTGGTGGTTGGCACATTTTTTTTGTTTAAGACTTCAAGTTTCTTTAGAACCAGTTTCTTATTCTCTTCAGATTTTACAATTTTCCCCTTGTGTTCCTCAGCTACTGCAGTTGACTTGCTCTTGTTTTCAAGTATTTGAAATCCTCTATTCTCCTTTTCCTGAGTCATGTTTCGAGAGTTGCGTACCTTTTCATCATTATCTGAGCGTAAGGGCCGTTTTGGGATGTTGGCTGAGATGGGAGTTCTGACTGTTTCCTCTTGGTCTCTGAAGGTTCTGTTATCTAATTCTTGTTTGTTTTTAGATTGGTTAGACAAACATCCTTCATCATCTGAACCACTACTACTTTCCGAGTCACTTTCACTGCTACTGTGGCTGGCTGTTTCAAAGGATGCCCTTCTGTTGCTGGTTCGAGAGAGTATTTTCTTCTATAAGAAAAAAAAGTACATACATGTTAAGACCAATTATGAATGAACAGATGATAAAACTAATTTTTGTCTTTTATTTCTATACTTACTTCACTGGGCTGCACAATTTTTTCAATGCTCAACACCTTCTTGATATGATCAAGTCCAGAATTACCTCCTTCCTCTGTTGCAGACAGACTGGCCTCGGATGTTTCCGTTTCATTGACAGCAAGACTATTTTTCAAGATGCCTGAACAAAGAATTAAAATCATAGAATTAGCAATGCCTCTAAACCTTAAAAAACACACACACAAAAAAAGAACTTTTAAAAAGAGGGGAGGGGGAATACTAGTAATACTAAATGAAATTTTAAAAGTAAGTTTTACCTCTTCTAGGAGAATTATTTGGGGAATCTTCTCTAACATCAGATGACACTCGACTAGAAGACACAGATTTGCTAATGTTCTTATGAGCTCCTTCAAAAACTTCTTTAGCTGTCTTTGCTACAGCAGTACCTATTAAAATGAGAATGATCTCAAAGTTAAAGAGAGCACTAGTATTGTAACAAATTGTTGAGTTCTGGAAAATGGAGAGGGAACAAGACTATGCAAACCTTTTCTTAAAATTAAAATTTAAAAAAGGTATAAGAAAAAAAACCAATCACACAGAAAGATAATAATAAGAATAATAAGAAACCCACACCAGGCAAAATAATTTTGTTTCTTCAGTGAGAAAATCTTAAGGTAATAATATTCTTTAGTTTAGTTTGAGTTTCTTGGCAGTCACTAATTTAGGATCAACTTTACTTCAACTCTGATTGATTGAACGTGCATGTAGGTTGGCAATTGCAAGCAGGGAAGGTCTAATATAACATATACTTTTAATGCTTTGCTATGAATCAAGCTTCACAGAACAACCATTGATGCCCACCTATCAATTCCTTAGGAGGTTGCTTGATGATACTTTGAGCTGTTGAGACCTCTTCAATAGTAACAGGTTGAGTTTTGAAACGGGAATTAGGTGCTCGTCTTCTGTTCTGTTGGGGCTGAGCTGGAGCACCCATCACTGGCAAGCGATCGGCAGTCATGGCTTGATTAAATAATTTGACACGTTCTGCCAGACTAAGCTTGGATGGGTCATTTTCATCTTCACTCTCCTCTATTTGGTCAAGATTAGAAAAAAAGGAAGAAAGAAAAAGAAAAAAGAAAAATAGGATATTAGAAACTTGAAAGGAAAGCAATCAGTATTTTAAAAAACAGAGCATGCAAAGAAAATATTCCAACACAAAAAAAATTAAACAAGTAGCACTACCATACATTCAATCAATTTAAACTACGTAAACAACTAGATAGATAGACAGGACAGATTTATGAATCTACATACAAATCTTGCAGAAAATAATAATAAAAAAAATAAAAAAAAATGTAAATGTGTTGTCTCAATTCCCACCTATACTTTGTCTTGAATCCTCTAAAATGTTCTTTGCTGATAACACTTCCGTATTAGTCACTGGCTGAGTGGCAAATCTTAAACTTCTCCTAGGACTTCTTTTAGGATGAACTCTTTCCTCAGAATTGAATGCATTAAGTGAATTGAATATTTGAATGCAATCAGAAACACTTGAGCTCCTACCACGATTGTTATTGCAACCTTTTACAAAGAAAACAAGCTACAGTAAAATACACATAATAGCTTGGTGAGCAGACTAGATGAGATCACAGTAAAGTAATCAGGCAGCATCAAACTTTAACAAAATTAGATTTTTCAAAAAAATAAGAAAGCAGGCAAAGTATTTTTTCTTTCAGAAAAATTGATAGACCCATCAAGGAGAAAACTTGTTTTAAAAGAATAAAATCTGTACATGTTGGCACATGCAATGGCGTGCATTGATAACATCACAGCAAACATATAAGCAGGAGAGTTGCCAGCAAAAAGATATACACATACCTGTTTTGGCAAGATTTGTAGCACTTGCACTTGTTGTTATTTCAGCTCCAGCTTTAACACCTTTCAATTCATTCACAGTAATGGGTTGGGTGGAAAAGCGACTAGTTTCTCCTGCATTATCAGACTTACGATTCCGATATCGAGCAATTCCCTTATTTAAATCCGCTGTAAAAAATCAGATATTAATAAAAAAACGTTTGACAAATTTCTTACATGAGTTTCTGACACATGAGAACTAGAACATAAATAATGGAATAGAAATTCACCTTTAGGTATTTTTCGTGCTTTAGCTTCTTCAGCTGCTTGTTTTATTTTTTCTTCCATTTGAGAAAACAACAGTGCTTTCTCAGACACACGACTAGCAGATCTTTGCAGACCTTGTTTTTCATCATCAACTTCCATTTTTGATTCCACTGATTGTGATTCTTCTATTGATTGACCAACACTTTCAGAATCTTCTTGAATTTCATCTTCATCATACTCAGAAAATGCATCAACTTTTGCTTCACAGTTGGTAGGTTCAAATGGTAACGACAAGGCTCCAAAAGATCTTTCAAATGATGCTTTAAAATCACTTCCACATGATTCACCTAGACCACTCTCATTATTAACATCACCATCCCAAACTTCCTGCTGCCCTGTCAGTGGTAAAGTAGAAGGGCCACTAGTATTTGCACATTCAAAGTTTAACAGGGGTGATGAGCTTCTATTTTTCAAGATCCAGTTGTCTCCTAGATTATCAGTGACAGCATAGGATATGGACGAATCTATGCTGGGAGCAGCCCTCCGAGCTGCCCAGCTTTCCTTGTGAGCTTCAGGTGATGGCACATGATTCCTAAAGGCATAACTGGACTCTTCACAGACTGGTATAGCTCCCGAAGACAGCAACAAGGAGCTGGGCCTCACTGGGCTACGGGTTGGAAGTGGAGACAATGGTGGTGACACACAAGGAGTCGGTGATGCTGGTGGTGATGGTGGTGGGGAATGAGTTGGTGAAAAAGGTGGTGGTGATCTGGGCGGAGTAGGAGGTGGCGACCTCGGAGGGGGTGATCTCGTGGGCAGCGCGTCAATGCCCTGGCCCTGGGGAGATCCTGACCTGTAGTTGAGGGATCTGAAAACAAAACACACAAAGAAAGCATAAGAACTCTGTAAAATAACTAGTTCTCAATCATTTGAGGCTCTATCACCAATAAGTAATACAAGGTGATGTTTTACCACTTAAAAGTAAATAAGGGTAAGTAAATTTCTAACTTAAACGAACTTTCTTGAGGAGAATAGCTCTCTGCTACTGCAGGAGTGGACACCGCTTGGCAGACTGGCAGAAGCCAGGGCACAATCGGGGGTGGGGGGAGAGGGAAGGCAGAGGCTGGGCAGGGGACTGACCACGCTAAAGTTAGATTCTGGCAACGCCACTGTAAACTTAGCATCAGTGTAATATGGTGCTTTGCCCACTTGCAGTACTACAAAAACTTCTCTCAAAATCCATCTTAATCCATAAAATACATTAAAAGAAGAATTAATTTTTTTGTAATAGATTGATCTTCAATAGTAACAGGTTGAGTTTTGAAACGGGAATTAGGTGCTCGTCTTCTGTTCTGTTGGGGCTGAGCTGGAGCACCCATCAATGGCAAGCGAT